ACATAAATAATTCTGCATATGAAGTTGCTAGTTCTTCAAAAGATCCATATGTGGCAGCTGTTTTTCACTGTAGTACATTACAGATACCCAGCTGGAATATTTTATATCTAAATGCCATGCAGTTTTAAACATATCCATAATAGCACTGATTGCAAAACAAATACTTCATACAAGAAATTTGATTTATTGTTCAATGCCTAATATGTTTAAGCACATAAATACATTGTAAAATAAGATTTTGTACCACCAATTACAAAAATCTGTAATTTGGGCATACCCCAAATGTTTTTAAATTCAAAAATCTATTATTTTTACCTTTGCAGTCAAAGATATTTCCACAAAAGAAAAAATATATGCCATGTGCTAAAATGAAATGGTGCAGCTTGTCAGGCTTAGTCATTACACAAACCACATCTCAAATCTGGCTCAAAGTAGGCTACTTGATAAATTATAATACCCTGCGATGCCCTTTGACTGATGTGCAGATTACACTGTGTAATTACATCATCTTTAATTAATAAAACAATTCTGACTAAGCCATAAACTATGTTTTTCAAACCACAATGCTGGGCTCAGACAATACATTAAATCAAACCAATGTCACATTGTAGCCCAGCAATAACTCAACACGTATGTATCATCGCTGCCCACATGCCCACCAAAAGTTCCATTGAATAACCTTGCTCATTTTGAATGTCACTCATAGATTCTACTATCAAAAATGAATTTAGAATATAAACAATGACAACTCAAATTGTCTTGTAGTTATAAAATTCATCTCTGCTATATAGGTCGTTCATATAAGCAACAGAATCTATTCCAAAAACTCATTTTGAAATGTAGTAATTACAACAATCTTTTATTTATTTTACTGGTCACTCCATGTATGTTTTTGTCACATGATGTTTTCTTAAAAATATTTGTTTGTTTTAAAATACCTTACATTTTGATGGGTGGCCTAAAGTCAGAATAAAAGTAATCAGCCCTAGAGACAGATTTTAAAAAATAATAATAATCTGAAGACATTTTGTCTTTTACCTTGCAATTTTATCTGTTGCAAGGGCTATAGTTAGTGGTGGGATTTGTGTTTGTTTTGGTGGCTTCAACTCAAGTCACTATTGATTACTTGTGACTGCCTGGTCAAGTCCCTGGACTTTTCTTAACAAGATTTCAGAAGTTGTTTATTTTCTTCCTAGAGTGGTCAGGGAATAACTGGCCAAAGATCATCCAGCTGGCTTTATGCTTAAGGCAGAACCCCCAGTCACTTGATTTCCAGTCTGATGCCTTAACCATTACATCAAACTGGCTTTCTATTGCCAGGCACAAATCAGAAAAAAAACTACTTTTGCAATAAAGAATAAAACGAATCTGTAAAATTCAACTTCTTTTCCTTAAAAGGTATATCAACATTCCTTGGATGTTTTTAAACTGAAAGAACAAACAGGAAAAGAGCCTTTTAAAATCAGAAAGTGTATGACCCATCCACAAAAACATATCCGTTTTATATATCAAAACTGTTATTTATTACTTGACTTTTCTTTGTAGTTCAGTCTGGAAACTATTCTGATTTACTGCTCAATAATTTACTTTTTAATTATTTTTTACATTTGTTTAAATTGTGACTAGTAATGTTAATAACCTTATCCTTCGAGGACAAGATCTAAACCTTCAAGGCCATCTAGATTAGAGATGTTACCAGCATTTCAGTCACCAGATTCCATAACATGCTTATTCAACTTTTTCTGAAGAAATAAATCTATAAACATGGTAACCATTTCTCACATGTTGACTAATTTTATTTGCGAACGCTTTCTTAATGACCCCAACAGGGTAGATGAACGTTCCTCATCGCCGGCGCATGCAGGATCCGCCGTCCGCCTCTTTGGGATTCTTATTCCCGTGTGCTCCAGAGCAGAGTTCTGGGATCCAGAATAGATCCGGTCCCACTCGTGGAAAAGGATCCCTACGCGAACACACAACACGAACAAGGGGTCAGGAACCTCAGCAGCAAGTCGGCGGAGGCTGCAAGAAGGAGGCAAAGCAGAGGACGCTTGTTTTCTAACGCTAAAAGAAGCTGCCGGGTATACCTGCCGCTGCTCCGCGCTCAAACCATTCACCATATCATCTACCGTGACCCCGGCGCAGCCCCGCCGCCAGAGTGACGACAGACCCCCGAGGAAGCAGCGCCTGGAGCAGCTGGTGGCGCCCTTCCTGATCAGCCCGACAGCCGCCATCACGAACTCCGCAGCGACCTCCCACTCCGGCGGATTCTGGCAGCATTCCCACCGCTTTTTTGACCAATCAGCGAAAGGGGGAGAGGCTCAACTGTCCACTGGGAACTCTCGAAATCCAGGGGAGCAGCCAATCGACAGCAAGACGGTGCTGTGGCTCTCATACGTGTAGAGCCGCCTATTTCTCTCGGCTGCCTCGCGGGGCTAGTTCGCTGCCTGTATAGATTAAGGAGGATTTGACGCCCATCCTCCTCCGCTTCCAGCGCGATTTTTCTGCGAGGTTTTTTTAGATTCCTTTCTCCCACTTTCCCCTTAGTCATCGTAAACAAAGCATTTCCCCCACTAGTATCATTTTTTTAACCCGTAGCACAGACCGTGGCTTAAGTTTCAAAAACTGAAACGGGGAAATTAATCCGGAAAATAGACAGATTCTCAAATAGAGAAACATAGGTTTTAATTAAGAGCCCCCCCCCTACTGACAGCAGAATGGCACAATACATACCTATGCAGGTTGACTAAGAAAAACCCAACTTAACTTGATCGAAAATCTTAGCATCCCCCCCTCCCCCCACTTACTTTGTTGATCCTTAGGCAAACTAATACCGGTAAGTATAATTGAACGGTCTCATTATATATGCCTAAAGCAACCTAAGTAATAATTGTAGAGATATCATGCTTCTCTCAGTCCCTGGAAAATCGCTATGCACTGTCCTACTTAAAAGACTCCAAAACAAGATTGAAGGAGGTATACATGAAGTACAAGCCAGATTCAAACAAGGTCACTTATGCAATGAACTTTTCACTGAAATATCATTAGTAAGGAATACCAAAAACAGATGCCAATTAACTATTTTTTTAAAAAGCATTTGAGTGTGTCAATAGAGAATCATGGAACATACTACAAACACACTGTATTCATAGAGATATATTAATATCTTTAGAAACTTTTACACTAGGTGTAAGAATTGAAAATGGCAGTCCTGACTACTTAATACTGGAGTAAGGCAGGTGTCCTATCCCCGTTATATTTCTGATTACCATGGACTATACCATGAGAACTTCTGCCAACCTAGCAGTTCAAAAGCATGTAAAAAATGCAGGTAGAAAAATAGGAACCACCTTTGGTGAGAAGATAAGTGTTCTGTGCGCCTTTGGCATTTAGTCTGCCAGCCACATGACCACGGAGACGTCTTCGGACAGTGCTGGCTCTTCGGTTTTGAAACGGAGATGAGCACCACCCACTAAAGTCAGGAACGACTAGCACATATGTGCAAGGGGAACCTATACCTTTACCACTATACCATGAAAAAGGCAATGAATAAATTAGACTTTGGCATTCCATGGACTAAAGAAGGCAAATTGACTTATCAATATATTTTGCTGATGACATTGCTTTGTTAGCAAACACTAAGACACGGCTGAAAGATATGACGCTGGCATTTGAAGCAGTGGCAGGTAAAGTGGGCTTAGAAATCAGTGGATAAGTCGAAGCAAGTTGGCAATGTTCAATACAACACCCCAATAACATTAGGACAGGCCTTAAAATTTATGGAACAATTCAACTATCTTGGTGATACGGATATGTGGGGGAACTGAAGCAGATGTGAAATGCCGAATAGGTGTCAAATGTGCTCAGTATGGACCACGTGCCCAATAAACACAGTAATCAAGATCAGATTGTTTAATGCCATACTGATCATCTATGCCAGTCAGACCTGGAAATTTACAAGAATTATTCATAAGATAACATCTTTCAACATTGCCTTGGAAGGATTCTTCATATATCTCATATTGGGACCATGTCACAAATGAGGAAATGTTACAAATTCCTGAAGACACTCTGAGATAATGTCAAAATGAAGAATGGGCTTTACTGGACATATGCTCCGCATGAGTGAGCAACATCCAGCAGAGTCTGCAATCAAGTGGATATCACCAGATGGTCAGAGAAAATGAGAAAAGCCCAAGAAAACCTGATGCCAAATATTTTAGGAAGATCAGAAAAAAAAATCAATCTTAAATGAAAGGACGTGGAGACAGTAGCTGTGGACAGAGAACTGTGGAGTATGCTTGTAGCCAATGTGCTTAACAGAGGATGTGATTATGGTTATAGAAGATAGCAACAATTATGGGGGCTTCTAGGTACAGTAATAAAATCTAACGCAGCTTAATAACATACTTTTCTTTCTGAAATGGAAATTGAAAGTGGATTGTCCAAGTCTTCAAAAATCTTACATGTTTCTAAAATATGCTGAGGTATTTTCACCTAGCCTAGCTGACTAGAAAGCTTCTATAGAGCAAAAATAGTTTAGGAAGGAAATTAAAATACAACAATCCACCTAAGATGTTTTCTATACTTTCCTAGAGATTGCAGGTAACATAAGCAATTAGAAGTAAAACTTAAATAAATTTTTATTTGCCATTAACATCAAGAACTTACTCAAAATGTCAACTAAATAGCATAAATGCATTATCTATTGAGCCAAATTATAGAACTACTCAGAATTTAATTGTTTTTAATTAATACCCCTTGTTTGCTGCCCATTGCTCCATGAAAATGGCCTGCCAATGGAACAGTTTAAAGATTTTATAATATACATTGCTCCTCCTATTTTGGAAACAACTTCCACAATCTTTTGTCATCATTCATATTAGCTAGGACTGATGGAAGAGCCTGTACATGACATATATAAAACTCTTTAGCCCCGATAAATAGGAGAATATAAGTTATTGTTTAAATGGTCCATGGTAAAGTTAATAAATCTTAACCTAGGTCTCTGATGTGTGTAAGAAGTCAACTTCCTGATTTAAGGCAGCACACAACTCTTCCATTTCTCTCTGAAAAGACTGTTGCTCCTCTAAGAAATGGGTACTCTCCTCCTCTATCTGCTTCCATCTGGTCTGAGCATTCTGTAAAGAAAAAGGTGGTTAAGTAGCTATGTCTACTTTATTGCAATTGCATTTAATAAATTCTAGAGTTATGAAAATTGATATACGGATAGTACTCAATTTATGATCAGCTGAGACCAAAAAATTTTGTGGCTAAGCAAGGGAATTGTTAAATGAATTGTGTGCAATTTTATGACCTTTTTGCCATGGTTGTTAAGTGAATCACATATTAAGGTTAATATGTACAGTTAAGGCGAATCCGGCTTCCTCTATTGTCAGAATCCAGCTTGGATGGTTGCAAATGATGACCCCAGTATGCTGCAACCATTGTAAATACTTGTGGAGAGCCAATTGCCCAAATTTTGATTACATGGCTGTGGGGATGTTCCAATGGTTATAAGTACAAAGACTGGTTGTAAATCAGTGTTTTCAGTGCTGCTGTAACTTTGAAGAGTTGCTAAATAAATGATTGTAAATAGTGGATTATCTGTATAGGAAACTAAATCTAGGAGCTAGAACTGACTTTATGTCATTTAGTTACCGTATTTTTCAGAGTACAAGACACAACTTTTTTCCTCAAAAAAGAGGATGAAAATCTGGGTGCGTCTTTAGACTGAATACAGCACTTTTTGCCTCCTGAAACCCTGCCCCCTTTGCAAAAATGGCTGTGCATAGCTTTTAGGCAGCTTCCAGAGTGCTTCTGGGGGCTGGGGAAGGAAAAAATGAGTGAAAAACGGTCCATTTTGCTCATTTTTGCCCTCACCCAGCTCCCAGAAGCACTCTATAAGCCTCCTAAAAGCTATGCATGCACTTTTTTTGAAAAAAAAACCTTTTTTAAAAAATTTGCCTCTTCAAAATCTTGGTGTCTTATACTCCAGTGCGATTTATAATCCTAAAAATATGGTTTTATATCTATCTAATCTATCTATCAATCTATCTAATCTATCTATCAATCTATCTATCAATCTATCTATCCAATCAATCTATCTATCCAATCTATCTATCTAATCTTATCTAATCTTATCTAATCTTATCTAATCTTATCTATCTATCTATCTATCTATCTATCTATCTATCTATCTATCTATCTATCTTATCTATCTATCTTATCTATCTAATCTTTCTCTTATCTAATCTATCTAATCTATCTAATCTATCTANTAATCTATCTATCTATCTATCTATCTTATCTATCTATCTATCTATCTATCTATCTATCTATCTATCTATCTATCTATCTATCTATCTATCTATCATCCATCCATCCATCCATCCATCCATCCGTCTATCTAGGAAAAGAGGAAAATCCAGCCTAGTTTTACCTGTATATTTTCTTTTTCCTCTTTAGCTGTTTGGATGAACAATGCAAGATCAGCATTAAGTTTGTCTGATAAAACCTGAAAGGCAAAGACATCAGAAATAGCACTATTATCAACTTTAAATTCATAATTAAAAGTGAAACTTGTATATTTTATACCCATGACTAGGGACATAAACTAAATTCAGCAGCTAGCCATAGAATAGAAGCTACCTCAGAAACAAGCACTGGAAAGGGACAAACTCAGAAAGGCATTCAACCACATTATATCACACAGCCTTAACTCTACACTCCCTCAGTTAGGCTACCACCCTCAGAAACAATTGATAAGACTAGCCAGTTGTCAATGTAGAAGTAAGATTCAACTACCGTGTTTCCCCCCAAATAAGACAGGGTCTTATTTTCTTTTGACCCCCAAAATATTGATTGGGTCTTATTATTGGGGTTATTGTTTTGCGGTTGCCGGGTAGCTGCTCTCTTGCGAGCGGGCGCCTGAAGAGCCAGGCACAGCCTCAGGGGCAACCAGCTGTGTTGCGCTGTTGCAGCAGCACAAAATAGCCATGAGGTGACCCCGCTCACGAGCAGCCACCCGGCAACCCCCCTTTCCTGCTGGGCAGAGCACCACTCACTGACCCAGTGATATCCCAAAGGCATTAAGCCGCATGGTGTTCTTCCCTCCCTCCCAGCTCCTGCAGCTTGACGCATTTGGGATACCTTTAGATCAGTACATGGCGCTCTGCCTGGCTGGAAAGGGAGGTTGTGGGAGCACCTGTTCCGTCCCCAGCTGGTGTGCCTCCCAACCTCACCATGCCCTGGCCCAGCTCTCCCTGCAGGGTCAGTGTGCCACCGCCGTGGTACTCCGAGCATAACCTATTCTCCGGCTTCCAAACTCCCGAGATCCGCAGCCAAGTCTTTTGGCAGCAGCCGCTCTGGGAGTATGCTCTATGGTTGTGGGCTGGTTGAGGCAGAGCGTACTCTCAGAGCGTACAACCATAGAGCGTATTCCCAGTGTGGCAACTTCTGGAAGACTCGGCATCCTACCTCTGTGCTTTGGAAGCTGGCTCTTCAGGAGCCCGCTCGCAAGAGAGCAACCGCCCAGCAACCCCCCTCTCCAGTTGGCACAGCACCACTCACCGACCTAGCAGTATCCCGAAGGCGCCAAGCAACATGAGCCTTTGCCCCCCGTTCCTGCGGCTTGGTGCCTTCGGGATACCGCTAGGTTGGTGAGTGGCACTCTGCCTGGCTGGAGGGGGGGGGGTGTCCAGGGGGCTTATTTTCAGGGAAGGGCTTACATTTTTGCTCATCCGAAAAATGTGGCACAGCCTTATTATCAGGACATGTTGTATTTTGGGGGAAACATGGTATTAGATTAGTTGTTTACCCTGTACCTTGTCCTGTGCTTTAAAAAATTTAGGGTTTCCCTGTCTAGTTATGTCTGACTCTAAGGGGTGATGCTCATCTCTGTTTCCTAACTGAGGAAGCCAGCACTGTCCAATGCTGCTTCTGTGATCATGTGGCTGGCATGACTATATGCTGAGACCGTAGAATTCTTACCTTCCTACCAAAGTAGTAACTATTTACCTTCTTGCATTTACATGCTTTGGAACTACTAGGTTAGTAACAAAATCTTAGACTGCCTCAGATCATATTTCTCCTTGGGAATAGTAAAAGAATCACATTTTTACCGTTATCTCAGTTTCTATCTTCTTGTTCGTTTCTTCCTCCTCCAAAATTTGTTCACCTGTAACTGATTTTCAAATATTTCATTGTATTTCAAATATATACGGCTGTATTCTTCTCGTTCAACTGGAAGCATAGAAGGCAAACAACTTTGGAGTTATTCTGCTGCCTCCTTTGGTAAGAAATTCCCAAACATCTGTTTCCGAATAGTATCACATGAATCAGAATGTTTTTATACAAAGGGATCATATTTCAGAGGCAGAGCATATGTTCTGAGTGAAAAAAGCATTCAACCATCAAACCTTCAGTTGAGTAGCAAAAATGGGAAAGGTTTTTATTCTGTCCTAATTATCAGAATTGTTGATTATCTAATAATTTATTCAGCAGTTGAACTTTAAAGTGGTTTAGTCCGTACAAAGCAAAACAGAGTACAATAAACATCTCCCTGCTTTTTTACCACCTAAATCAGTGATAGCTAACCTTTTTCTTATCATGTACCAAAAGTGGGGGAAGCGCGGGGGGGTGGTCATGCGCAGGTGTGCCCATACCTTTAATGCTATGTGCACAACCCCCCCCCCCGCTTTTTGCACATGATGGATCTGTTTTTCCCTTTCCCGAGGCTCCAGAGACTTTCTAGGAGCCTGGGGAGGGTGAAATCAGTCTCCCCCCCCCCCCCCCGGAGGCTCTTCCTGAAGTCTCCGGGGGGCAAAAAATGGCCCTAAGGAGAAACCGGAAGTCTGTTCCCAAATGTCTGGCTTGCCCATAAGGCCATTTTTCGTTTCTCCAGAGTGTGAAAAATGACCCAATGTGCAAACTGGAAATCACTTCCGGGTTGCCTGTAGGGCCATTTTTTGCCCTCCGGAGGCTTTAGGAAGCCTCCTGAAGGCTCTGTAGCGCAAAAAAAGGCCCAATGCGCAAACTGGAAGTCAGTTCCCGAAATTCTGGTTCACGCTTCGGATTGTTCTTTGCCCTCCAGAGGGTTCAGGGAAAAAGAAGGACAGGGCAACGCCTTGTGTACCCTAACACACGTGCCATAGGTTCATCATCACGGACCTAGATTCTACTTTGAACCACCACATAGTCCAGGCCAACATTGCACAAACTTTCTGCACTAAATAAACAGCGGGAAAATGTGGGGCCCACCCAATTAAATAATTAAATTTCCTCCCTATGTTTGAATCCCTAAGAACATGGATGTTTTCAGCATATAATTATTACAGTTGCATTTCTGTATGATTTCCCATCCTCTCCCATTTTCAAGCATTTTTTAAATATTAAAAATCAAAACTTAAAAATTTATCAATCATTTGAATTGCTTTACGTATAAAGTGCTATATAGCAATGGCTACTTTTAGCACCAATTTGCTGGTTGAGAATGATCAACAGATACCTTTAAATATTAAAATTATTTAATATTAAAAAGATTGAGCAGGTAACTGACAGTTTAAAAGCAGGTGTAGGCTATAGTGACAAACAGGCTGTATCAGTCTACCTGGTGACGTTTCCTAGAGAACTAATGGCTCATAGATCATCTTTTGGGAAACACTAGTCTAGGCATCCTTCCCCCCCAAAGAGGGTGAAAATCTGGGTGCGTCTTATACACTGAATACAGCATTTTTGGCCTCCCGAAACCTCGCCCCCTTCATAAAAATGGACATGCAGAGGGCTTGGGAGGCTTGCAAAGTGCTCCTGGGGGCTGGAAAGGGCAAAAAAGAGCAGTTTTTGCTTGTTTTTGCCCCCTCAGGCCCAAGGAGCACTTTGCAGGCCTCTCAAACTCTCTGCATGCCCTGTTTTTCACAAAAAATGAAGTGTGCTGAGGGTTTTAGAGGTCTGCAGAGTGAAATAACTATTTTTAAAAAATTACCACTTCAAAATCTTGGTGCATCTTATACTCCAGTGCATCTTATACCTGAAAAATACAGTAATAATCTTGTTTGCAATTACCACAGAATATTAAATGCTTTACCTTGGTCCCAATTCTTGGTTTCTAATATCAAGAGGCAGCTTTCCTGAAATTTTTTCAGCTTCTCATTTTCTTTTTGAAGACTATCGCACAGATTCTTCATATCTGTCATATCCTTCTGCAGAGACCAAACCAAAAGGCAGGTTAAGAAAAGCACCTATTTTTCTGAGGTGTTTAAGAAATAAATAAGGCCACAAGAAAAGATGAACAACTGTGCAATAGAACCACCTTTTTATTTGGAGGGATATTATTTGCTCGTGGCTATTATAAATCATCATCAGCAATGATGATTTCTTAAGATTTAGAAAACGTGTAACATGAAGTAGGATTTCGCTAATCTCATAAATAGTAGTTTAGTGTTGGTGGCTGGATTTGGCTCTATGGGTGAATTTAATTCCCTACCCAGTGTTCCATCATTTCAAAAATGTATGGGGGAGAATGGAACTTTGGTGAGACAATTCTTGTTTTGGTATGATAGGATAGCCAACTGAGGGAATAAGTGTTACAGCCTGGAAAAGGGAAGGTTGATCCGTTTCTCCTCTCCTATCTGGAAGCCTCTCCTCCCTTATTTCATGAACTAGCCTGAGGTGCTAAGAAACATATTACCATGAACATAACAATATTTGAATATGCAGACAGAGACATTTCAAGTGCAAGAAATGGCCATTCTCCATGGTGGAGTAATTAAGCATTGAAGGTAGATCAGTGGTGGGATTCAAATATTTAACAACCTGTTCTCTGCCCTAATAACCAGCTGGGTAGGTGTGGCTCAGTGGTCATGTGACTGTGTGGGCACGGCCAACTCAACGTCACTCAGGTCGATGGGAGCTTCACCTTAGCTGTTACAATGTAATAAGGGTTAGCCAGAGAGGCAGTTTTTGTAAGCAGGGCAATAAAGATTAGGCTAGAAACAACATCAGAATATTTCCTTCCTGCCTTCCTTACAGGATTAGCCCTGTAAAGTGGAAAAAAACAAACTAAGATTTCTTCCAACAACTGGTTCTCCAAACTGCTTAGAAAGTTAATAACCGGTTCTTCTGAATAGGTGCAAACTGGATGAATCCCACCACTGAGGTAGATCCAGGTTATGAAAATGCATTCTTAATGGCAAGTACCAAATTCTCTTTTCTTCTTTTATGGGAGATATCCAAATGGACAACTATGCAAAAATTGAATAATATCCTAGGAAGGTTAGGGCACGGCACTTAGAAAGCAAACGACTTCCTTTAAAAGCCAGATGTATAGAGGCAAACTATTTTATCATGCTTCCTCACTTTGTCCTTGGTCATGTCTAGCAGTGGAAGCTATATCAAGAGAGATGATGAAAGAAGATTGCAGTTTCCCCCAAACTTGATGCCTTTCAAATATGTGGACTTTGGAAATCATGGAATTTATACATATCTGTAGAATGCTACATTTGTGGAACTGTGAGAAATGTTTTTTTTTAAAATGTATAACCTAAAAAAGAAAAGAAAAAAACCATAGACTATTTCCTCTACTTTTAATTCTTTTTCTGGACCAAGCCAAAATAGGAAAGAATTGAAAATTGGTCTATAGAGGGAAATACTAGAGAATAGTTACATAGATTTTCTCTTCTAAGAAGATGACATTAATCCGCAAATATTTTTCACACCAAACAGAAGAAAAAGACTTTAATCCTCTTATAAAATGATATATTGTGAGATGATTTAAAACCCTTAAAGTAGTTCCAGCCTGTCATTTTATACAACTAGAGCAGCCTTTCATTACTCTAAAGATGAAACTAGCAAAGGAGAGGAAAGACTGGGTTTACCTATTCAAAAAGCTAATTAGAATTAGAAAATCATAAAAACCACCCCTACTGTACCTGGTCTACCTCATAATAATAATAATAAAAAAGCCAAGTTTGCTTCCTACCTGCATTTCCACCACTTTTAAACTCAGTTCACTCTTGGCATTCTCCAGCAACCTGTTTTGGTTTTTGAGTTCTGTCTCCCGTCTGTATCTGTTCATAGGGCTATGGAATCAAATATTAGTGATGCATCATGGATGGCAATTTTGCTTGCATTTAGTAACGGATCAAGAGCCCTCATTATTTTATAAACAGAAAAGAGGAATATAGAGAAATTATTAAAATGTAAGATATTCACCACATAATGCCTTCATCCAGAAGCACTACTACGGTACTTGACTAGCCTATATCAGTATCCAAATATTCATTTATGTACAAGGCTTATATACGGTGGGCTGCTCCAATCAAACAACTTTGAGCAATGTCTGTAAACTGTTAATATGCATCCACACTAATAATGCAAACCTACATGGTACAATATCCACAATACAATCTAAACAAATGTTTTACACTGTATGATATTTTCATAATTTATTTAGTCCTGCAATTCTACATAGTGAATGCTGCACCAGTGGCACTTTTTTTCCAAAAGAAAACACAGATTTCAATAATTTAAGTTAAATACAGGTAGTCCTCGATTTACAACAGTGCATTTAGTGACCATTCAAAGTTACGTCACTGAAAAAAGTGACCTTTTTTCACACGTGTGACAATCGCATCCCCATGGTCACATGATCAAAATTCAGATTCTTGGCAACTGACTCGTATTTATGTCAGTTGCAGTTTCCAGGGATCAGGTGATTACCTTTTATGACCTTCTGACAAGCAAAGTCAATGGGTAAACCAGTTTCGCTTAATAACTGTGTTACTAATTTTCCAACTGCAATGATTCACTTAGCAACTGTGGCAAGAAAAGGCTTAAAATAGAGCAAAACTCACTTAACAAATATTTCAGTTAGCAAGAGAAATTGTGGGCTCAGTTGTGGTTGTAAGTTGAGAAATACCTGTACATTTTTGTAAGGAATTAGAGCAGTGTTTCCCAACCTTGGCGACTTTAAGTCCTGTGGGAGACTTAGATTCTGGGAGTTGAAGTCCACAGGACTTAAGTCGCCAAGGTTGAGAAACACTGAATTAGAGGCTTATAAAACATTATAGAGTCCAAAGGTTTTATTTGGGCTGTAGAGTACTCTTACTCATGTCATGCTTTGGACTTTTCTAATCTTGCTAAAACTGTTCTATTTTCAAAACCAATTGTTCCAATTTTTATCAGCATAATTTGTTTTGAAGTTGAAATAAGGCTATAAGAGTTTTTTCCAAATTCGAAGAGGACATTAAAAATTTGGTATATTTGAAACATAAAACGTTTTATAACCATTCTAAGGCATTCTGCTACAAACTGAGAGAGGGGGAAAAGGAGGATATACTCACGATCGTATAGTTGTTGGCATTGCTTTCTTGGGAGGGGGTGGCAATGCACCTTTTTTCCATGATTTCGGGAGTCTTAATATGAGAGGAACAAATAGATATTGCAACAGGGTAAGATAAAGGTTCCCCTTGCACATATGTCCTAGTTGGTCCTGACTCTAGGGGGAGGTGCTCATTTCCATTTCAAAGCCGAACAGCCAGCGCTTTCGAAGACATCTCTGTGGTCATATGGCCGACGTGACCAAATGCCGAAGGCGCACGGAATGCTATTACCTTTCTACCAAAGGTGGTTCCTATTTTTCTACTTGCATTTTTACATGCTTTCGAATTGCTAGGTTGGCAGAAGCTGGGACTAGTAATGGGAACTTACTCCGTTAAATGGTGCTAGGGATTCGAACCACCAACCTTTCTGATCAACAAGCTCAGCAACTTAGCCACTAAGCCACCGTGTCCCTCTTGCAACAGCTTAAGGATTTTAAATCTAAACATTTCAATACAACAAATATATGGAGAATGAAAGAGAAAGAGAGAGGGAGGGAGGGAGGGAGGGAGGGAGAGAGAGAGAGAGAGAGAGAGAGAGAGAGAGAGAGAGAACAAAACATTTTGATTAGGGATGTTAATTTTAGCTGCCCTGACACATTAGGCCAAATTTATTTTCTGGTGGGAGGGAAGAAAAAAAAGTTCCAAATTCTCTCTTTTGGAGAGTAGCCAAAGAAATAGCTATTTTGGCGATCATAGCAAAAGTATATATACCTTTGATTTGGGCCTTTGAGGGCAACACATGAAGTAGGATTGTTGGCACTAAAAGTAAAAACAGGATCTTTCAGGGGCTGTGAGTCCATCCCTTTGTTCTGGTTGTGCTGCTTTGAATAATCACAGGGCTGCACTTCTGCAAATAAGAAAAAATTGGGCAAATAGTTAATAAAAACTTCTGTCCTCAGGTTAACATTAAGTAAAAAAAGCTGAGGATGAGATCTAAACTGAAAGGGTGGTTTTATAACACATAAGAGTGAAATGAAATTTGGAAGTACATGGAAAAATTTGCATGATTTAGCAATAAGAGGAATAATGTGATGGTAAAGGAATAAAATAATTTTAATATTATTGATTAAAGCAATAAGCCTGGCAATATCCACCTGCCTCTCCCATCTCTCTATTCCACCTGCATCCTCATGGCAATAAAAGAAAAAAAAAGATTGTATCTTTCTTCCTGAAGTCCTGTACTTTTTTTTAATTTGTGCACAACTGTGAATAACGCAAGAGACAGCAGAAAAAAAAACTTCTATTGCTTTTTATCTTTAAATCCCTGTATGAGCGGGAGAAGACATCACTTCTTCAAGTCCACTTACAAAAGCTTGATTTGATTTCTGAATTTTCAATAGACACGGCTTCTTATTCTTATATTTCACCAAATTTGAAAGATCTGAATTTGATTTTCTAACCTTTTCTCTAAAATGCAAAGCCAAAACTGATATTGACCCAGAATATATGCACAGAACCTGATGCCATCCTGATATTTTAAATAGTATTATCCTCAAAAAATTCAGCAAGCTTGACAAACAATATAAATATAATGGTTGCAGCCCCAAACATTTGACGATAACAGCATAATTACTATCTTGATATAAAATTCCACTCTTACCTGACTCTTACTTCAAAGGATGAATGACATTTAAGTACATAGTTCTGGTTATAAGTTTGATTAAATTCTAATTCACATCAGGCTGATCTAAGATTAGCTAGGACAGGTAAGAAAAGCATTTGAAGTTGTCTTTGCAAAGACACTGCAACATAGGAAGAAGTAAGATAATTACTCTAATTGTAGGATAACGCATTAACAGACCTTTCAAAACACCAGTTGTTTTGGACTGTTGGGGAATGTAAACGGGGATCTTAGATTTGTCTGTCTCCATGATATTTAAAGTCTGAAAGATATAAAGTACTGCAGATCAATAGCTCTGTTGGATCTGAGTTCAGTTCCAAGTGGGAAAAAGACACTGGAAACACGGAGGATGTTTGGAAAGATGGTTTAATGGTGGCTGCCTTGGAGCTGAACTGAACTCAGAAGGATATTTCTTACAACCTACTTTATGAATAGCAATGATTAATGTATAAACTGCATTACAGGAACACATAAGGCAATCACATTCTGACGCAATGCATTATGTAATCTATGTTTAGAAATACATCCCAATTTTATGGGGTTTTAAGTTCATTTGATTACATTTCATAGAAAGAAATGAAAACAAGATTTTTCTAAAGTGTTTTGAGATTTCATACTATTTTGAGTTTAAAAAAAAAACTTTTATAGACCAAGCAAAGATGTCAAGGGCCAGCCTCATATACTGTGCTGTCTTTTCATACTCCAGCAACTTCAGAGTTTGGTTGTTTTCCTGCAGACGTCTCATTAGCCAAACTAGATATCGTCATCAGTGCTAGGCTGATAATGCTACCTAATTTGGGTAATGAAACTGCAAGAAAACAACCAAGCTCAAGAGAGCCCCAACCCCCATCTCAGCCCCATCTACAAAATATTCTCCTTTATTGCTAACAGCTTCATACTATAACCTTTAAACTTTCAAAACTTTTTTACTTGAGCAGCTCTCGGTTTAGCTCATTGTGGTCCTTTGGTCTCTAAGCTATGAAATGTAGTTAGGAACTCAGTTGCTTGTGAATACACAATCATTTAATTTCAAATAAATAAAGGCTTTCGGCAGAAAACCTTCCAACCACGTACATACACACACAGCATGCGCATACCATCACTCAGGCGAGACCCCAATTTGATCTCCGAAACTCCTAACCTGTGAAATAAGGCGCTCAGAGAAGCCCCCAGGAGATCCACCAAAGGCTGTTTCTACAACAGCGTCCCGCCGTTATTTGAATCACAAAGGGCGTTTCCACTCGGCGCAAGATAACGCGACAGCTAAAAGCCCCGGGAAGGCTCCCGCGCGCATGCGCAGAATAACCAAAACGCCCAGTCCCGAGATGGGGAAAGCTACTTCCGCCAAACCTTCAAGCGCAGAGGTCTTCAAACTTGGCAACTTCAGGACTTGTGGACTTCAACTCCCAGAATTCTCCAGTCAGCACTGGCTGGAGAATTCTGGGAGTTGAAGTCCACAAGACTTAAAGTTGCCAAGTTTGGGGACCCGTGTTCAAGCGCGTGAACGGCATGGAAAATGAGACTCCCCGTTAGAAGAAGCTGGCCTGCATCTTTTTACAGGGCGGGATTCATTTAGACTGGGAGTGAGTTTAATTTTAATTCCTTGACTTTTCTTCGAATAAAAAAAATATTGTTCTGAAAAGCCTTTGTTTCTTTATTTGAAGAAACGGGACGTTATCCCAAAGGTGCTTTTTCAAGCGGCAACTGGGCTTTGATTTTCTTTTCGCTTCTGATCCAAGAAGCTTCTTGGAAAACCGGAAAGTCCAGTTGCCTCTTGAAAAAGCAGCTTTGGGACAACCATGACCTGGGTGATTGAGAATTTCCGTATAAACGGGACATTAGAGCGATTATTATCTCTCTGTTCAGAAGAAAGTCGGTCCTGTAAATCAGCTGAGCCAGACGACTTCGACGCGATACCACTGGAATCGGGAAGATTCAAAACAGCGCGGGGACCCCCCCCCCCGGTCTCTTTAAAACAAACTGCAGCATCGCAGCGTCCCAGGACTGCATGAATATGTAGCTGTTGGATGGCTGCTTTAGGGACCTTTTGGAAACCGAAGATGCACATACAATATAATTAGTGACAGGAGAGGTCTGCTGAACTTTGACCTGTTGGAGGATAAATGATCCCTAGTTAATTTGTTCTAGACTGGATTAAGCTCTTATGTTGTAGTGAAGCCTTTTTTTCCTGGTAGGCAAATGTCATAAGGAAGGCTTCTACGGGAGTCCTACGGGATTGGGCGATAAATTTATTAAAAGTTAAAAGTTAAAGGCTTCACCTGTTGTGTTTTTATTTGCTACATGGTTGTTTAAGTAGGAATAGTAAGAAAATATTAGGGATATTGCTGGAACACTGGGTAACTTTTTTCTCATCTTGACTTCCTTTTCAGAAGATGTGCTGCATTGTAAATAACTCAGGTCTTTCGGCTACACAATTAAAAGATAAAGATGTAGGGAAGAAGTAGTATAAAACTCAGTGGGTATTTTGAGTATCTTAAATTATTGAACCTAATGTAGTTTGGCTGACAATCCATTTGTGTTGTTGGGGGGGGGATTACAAAATTGAGAGGCAAGTCTCTATAGTCTTAAATATTGAATAATGTTAATCAGCTGAATGGTACTTGCAAGCCAGAGTTTGAGAATCTCTCATTTTAACCCAATTGAAGTTGCACTGCTAGTGACATCATAATATAATTCTCATGAGATTCTTCTCTAAGTAGGCAGCCAGACAGATACTGTAAAAGTAACTCAAATTAGTTTTATTTAGTTCATACTGGACAAAATTGTTTTGTCAATACATTATGTTGCATACAATTAAAGGGAGACTGTCCCTCCTCAGTATAACCATGGTACATTTTTAAGAAGGAGAACAGTCTAAATAAAAGGATGTGCAGGATGTTGATGTGATACAATTTTTACTGGATCTACACATGTCTGCTAAATATTATTGATGTAGTGAGGGAGGGATTCATGTAACAGGTGAAAACGCAGACAATCTACAGGGTCCAAAGCTTTTGTATATTAAAAGTACTGTAAATCATAGTATTCATTGTAAAATAAAAAGTCCACTTTAAGAAAAAAAATGTTTATTTTTTATGCTAGGATATTATTATAGTTAAATGCAAGATAAACCACAAAAATATAAAAAAGTGTGACATTGCAAAGTGAAATGTAGGAAAGTAAATGTGGAACACTAGGTTAAAATTATAGGTACAGTTTTGAACAAAAATAATTAGTTGAAAACTGATAGCTTTGAATAAAATATACCTAGCATGAACATTAATATAAATCAAAAGCTGTACTGTATTTGATGACAGACAAATTACTCATATCAGATGATGAAAAATATATAATGAAAAAGTTGGATGAAATTTAAAACATGCTCTCCTTGGAGAAAAGAGTTTAATCATATTCCCAGGTTAGAAATAAATTATACTCTTAACATTTACTTTTAAAGAGTACTAATAATTATTTGAAAAATTACCAAGAGATATTTTTTCTGTCCCTATCTGAATATAATTTCTTGATGAGATTTGCATAATTCATAGAAAGTGATTCAGTTAAAACGTTTCTGTCACATCAACAATATACAAGATCTTAATGACTCAACACCAAATGCTCCAAGGTATAAAGTTCCCCTCTATTGTTCGGTAGCTACTAAGTCATGTATTTCTGTGATCCCTGGGACTCTCTGCTGCTTCCAAAATATCGCAACACATCTTACACCAGAGACAGTTACAAACAACTCTTTCTTGATTAACCTTAAGCAGGAGTCTTCTCCTTCTCCTTCTCCTTCTCCTTCTCCTTCTCCTTCTCCTTCTCCTTCTCCTTCTCCTTCTCCTTCTCCTTCTCCTTCACCTTCTCCTTCT